GTTCTACCTGCCTAACCGACCTAACTTATTCCTTCATTGCCTACTACTTGGATCTTTCAAACCATTCTGACAATCGATACATAGTAGTAGAAAAAATTACACGACGGGAACTTTGTGCGGCACTCCTTTCACCGAACCTCCTTCGGCGCCACTCCCTCCGCCTCCCTGATAATTGGTGATGACGGCGTGTGCGTGCGTGTTCGGCGTGTATTGTGTTTGTGTCTCGATGTGTGGTTTGTGTGTCTCGCTTGTGAATTATTAGTCAGTTCGACGCGCCTACCAGCCGACAGTCAATCAATCAATCAATCAATGTCAATTATGAAACCGTAGGTTTCATTTGATGTCACGCTCAACTCCCTGGATCGATTTTCGAAGCTCTTGCGACTACTCCCCGACGAAGAGGGTGCCGAAGTCAAAGGACATGTATTCGGAAAGCTCCGCACGAGACGCGGTTCCGATGCCGCCATGTTCGGCACCGTCACTGCTTTTTTTTCCTGCCGATAAAAAATCGAGCTTCGGAAACCGGTCCAGGGGGTGTGATATCTTTACATTACAACGTACGGTAAGAGGTCAGTCACCAGTTCAGTTTCATTCAACGGGGGGATGAAAAACAAGCGCGAACTACAACAGTGTATATAACTCTTCTCTCTCTCTCTAACGCCAGGAGGAGAGGGTGCAGGAGTTGGATGACACAGCAGCACAGTGTCCTGCGTCTGGAGCAGAAGACTCGAATAATTAATGATGTGTATACAGAGCCACATTCCGTTCGACTGTGGGTATGTATATCTCGAACGGGTAGTCTTTTCTGTGTCTATCTTCCTAATAATGAGCCGCGGAGCGAGCGACATTTTTCCCTTCGTCCCCAGGAGGGAAAAAAAGGCTCTATTTATCGGCCAAAGTTGCGCCGCGCGATACAGGTGAAAACTTGGTTTCCGGGAAGCCTATTTAGCACACCTTTGGGACCAGAACGAGATCTATAGGGCACCGATTGACGATCTGCTCGCTTCTGGGGAAGAAGAAAAATAGCGAGCTCTTCTCCACACCGATTTCGTCATGCTCCGAGAGCAGATGGCCGTGCTTCACCGGCATAATATGTAGCCTATATTCGTAGGAGACTTTGCTCCCCAACCCCGGGTTTTCTACGCGAAAAGGCGTGCACATAAGCGGAGATCGCGCGCGCGTGCCAGAGGAGTGGACGCAGAAGCAGGAGATGTTCCCCACTCTTAGCAAGCTTGTAGTGAAGTACCTGGCTGTTCAGGCGACCTCCGCGGCTTCGGAGCGCCTTTTCTCGGAGGCAGCGTTGATCATTACCGCCAAGCGCTGTCAACGCCGAGAACTAACATTGTTTTGCTTAGCTCGAACCACATGCTTTTGTAGATTTGGGGTGTAAATGTGCTGTAGCAAAGCACATACATTTAGATAATGATCCGTTCGTTGTTTTCATTTTTTGGGCGAAGGGGAAGGAAGGGGCGGTTGTCCCGTAGATCGTGGGTCGCGAAGAAATCGATAGTCTATATCCGTTTTTTTTTTTTTCAGAGAGCAGTTTGGATGTGTTATGTCTTCTTGTTTTCGTTCAATGAAAAATAATGGTTTCTTTCGCGGTTATCCATACGCCGGCAGTTAGCAATTAATTGCGATCCTCTTCGCTGTTGTTGAGTCTTTGGCGAGCCTGATGATGACAGCAGCAGGGTCAAGAAGCGTTGCAACTTGCCACTTACTACATCCATCCGCAGATTCAACGTAAATGATCAATCAACTGGTACAGCTATCTATTGGGTACAGAGTAACGCCGTCAGGTACGTACTCCTGCACGCGTGAGCGTGTTGATCTCTTCAGTATAATACCCCAAATATACTCCAAAATATACCTCAAATATATCAGATGTTGGGAATACCCCAATATTGTTGTTGTTGTGGTTGTTGTCTTCACATTAAAAACCGTTCCGTTCTCTCTGCCTAGTACCTCCTTCTGTCCGTACTAGTGTAGCACTTGACGGGATCGATTCCCGTGGTCACAGGCTAACTTACCCAAAAAAGGTATACAAAAATAAAATGGACCCGAAGGGTCCGCAAGCCAATAAAAGTCAACGACAGATAGTCTAGGCCGCTCCGCTCGCCTCTCTGCACTCTATGCGAGGTAACCCTAGATTGGAAAAAGATAGAAAAAGTAAAAAGAAAAAGAAAAATAAAGAGAAAGAGAAAGAGAAAAAGAAAAAGAAAAATAAAGAAAGGAATTGAGCAGATGGAGAGAAGCAAAGGGAAAGAGAAAGACATAGACAGAGAAAGACACACCGTAGCGACAAGCAACAAACAAACAAACAGAACAACACAAAACAACACAAGACAAAGCGGGCCACTCGAGCCAGCCCATGCACGTCATCGCTCGCGGGGGGTTGGTGCAATGGTGCAGTGCCGGGGGTGGGGGAGGGGGATAAGTCAAGCAAGAGGTTCGTTTCGGCACGGTGTTTCGCGCCACTCGGTCCGCCTCTCTCTTCGCGTTTCCTGCAGATATATACCCCAATAAATATCCCCTATACATCAATATCCGAACCTGTTGTGAGATTTCCTCAAATATCAGAGAATATCAGTATCTGATTCCAGCGGGGGGGTATATATCAATATCCATATATATACCCCCCGTAAATTTCTTGATACACAACACTACCTCCCCCTCTTCTGCGGCCACGACTAGCTCGCCGCCGTCACACATCGGTGTTAAGGAGGACCCGATTCGCAGGGTATCCGTCGATTGACTTTTACCAGAATCGGTATATGGCGTCAGCAGGATACTGGTTCGAATCTCCTTGGGTGCACATTTTTTCTCCTGACGTGGACATTTTCCCATGGGCACAATGTGTGTCAGTCCTGAGAACACCTCTTGGAATCGATCCTATAAAGAACCTTGTGACACTTCCATCGAATTACCCGTCCTGGCCACAAGAGGTTCCCAGTTGAGGGTAAATTCTGTGGGTGGAGAGTGTTAAGGAGGACCCGATTAGTAGGGTATGCGTCGATTGACTTTTACCAGCAGAATCGGTACACCTTCGCATGTGGCGTCAGCAGGATACTGGTTCGAGTCTCCTTAGGTGCACATTTTTTCACCTGACTTGGACATTTCCCCATGTGGACACAACGAAACCACAAGTCAACAACCTATGGGGCGGGAGGGGGGCATGAGACGGACGAGACGGCGAGGGAAGAAAGCAAACGAGAAGAGACGGACCGAGTGGCACGACACGAGCCGGATTGAATTTCTTTTCGCCAATTCCCCCCCCCCCAACGCTGCACCATTGCACCAACCCCCCAGTAGTAGTAGTGATTTCGTACCATTACAATGTATCGCTGGTTGGTGGCCATGTTTGCGTGTTTATTTGTTCGTTAGTGGTCTCTCCACCGTGTGCCTTGTTCTGCCTCATACTTCCTGATATTTTCGGCCTGGTCCCTCTTTGTTCTCGCCCTTTTTCATTTTATTTTCATTTATTTTCCCTTCTCCTTACGGTTTCCATTTTTATTTTTATTTTTATTTTCCTTTTTTTTCTCTCTTTTTCTGTGCCAGATGGCCTTGTCTCTGCTTAGCTTGCGTTGTGAAGTACCAAGATTGAACCAAGGGGGTGTACCTCTTTCTCTCCGGCCCATGATAGATAGTGACTGCTAGTCTCAGTTGATACCTCGCATAGCGCGAAGAGGGAGTGGAGGATTCCAGAATATCTGTCGTTGATTTCTATTGACTTGCGGACCCCTCGGGGCCAGTTTATTTGAGTGTACCTTTTTAGGGTAAGTTAACCTGTGACCAAGGGAGGAATCGACCGCGTCGAGTGTTGGATCAATACGGACATACGAAGGTACTGGGTAGAGAGAGATCGGAACGGTTTTTAATGTGAAGACAACAACAACAACAACAACAATGTGTGTCAGTCCTGAGAACACCTCTTGGAATCGATCCTATAAAGAACCTTGTGACACTTCCATCAAATTTACCCGTCCTGGCCACAAGAGGTTCCCAGTTGAGGGTAAATTCTGTGGGTGGAGAGTGTTAAGGAGGACCCGATTCGCAGGGTATCCGTCGATTGACTTTTTTTACCAGAATCGGTACACCTTCGCATCGGCCACTAAATGCATGCATGCATCTCAACCATGGGATGAAAATAAGTCTCTCTCACGTTCTAAGCGTGACCCGGATGCATCGGCTTGTTTGTAGTACAATACTAGTAGTGAGGTCCCTGTTTAGTGCCGGGGTGCGCCCGCACTAAACCGGACACCGGCACTATTCAAAGTACAGAACGACTTGGTATTCCAGTGTGTGCGAGCCGAAAACACCGGCACTATACCGGCAACGAGCACTACATTCAAAACCGGCATTAAACAGGGACCTCTACTGTAAGATGCTGCAGGTAGGGTTTGTGGGACCTTGTGGCCTTGTTCTGTCGAACTGAGATGTGTTTACGACGTGCTGAGACGCATTTTATTTAGACGCGCATAGGCTGACTCTTATAGCTCCCGAAAGTTGGCCCGACGGATTTTTTTGGACGGGCATACATGAATTTACCCCCGGTCGCCCCGGTGGTCTAGTTGGTAGCCTCGTAACCTTCTAGAGGTCAGGTCAGGGGTTCGAATCCCGGCGTAGGCGAGCTTTTCTTGCAAAGTGAGTTTTTCTCTCGCTTCCGCTCCTGGCCAAGTGGATAGCGCTAGTTCGTGTGTACACAGAGGGAAGAGAGTGCTGAACTCTTCTCGCATTAAAAATTGAAGGCGAAGTACCGCAGGAGGGGAGGGTAGAGAGAGGCTCTTCTGTGTGACCACGGGTTGGAATAAACGGCACTAGTAGTAGTGCTGTGGGCGCTGATTTGAAGTGAAGAACAAAAAAATAAAAATACCCCCCCCCCATGATTTCGACCAAGAGACAGACCTCTCACCACATCATCACCACAGAGTTCTCCCTCCATGATTGTCGGGTCGTCACCAGAACTTGAAGGCTGTACGCACCACACCTGTAGACGTCTTTGAAGCTAGTGGTGACTGCTGTGGGGTCTGTGTGTGCTGAGAAATATCAATCCATGTGAGCAAAAAAAAGTAAGAATCCGTTTGGAGAATCCGTCGAGGATTCTATACGATAGTTTGGCCTTCCAAAGACGCCTACAGGTGTGGTGCGTATAGCCTTCAAGTTCTGGTGACGACCCGACAATCATGGAGGGAGAACTCTGTGGTGATGTGGTGAGAGGTCTGTCTCTTGGTCGAAATCAGGGGGGGGGGAGTATGCCCGTCCAAAAAAATCCGTCGGGCCAACTTTCGGGAGCCATAAGAGTCAGCCTTAGACGAACGAACACAAGAAGAAGACGCGCCACGACGAATACAACATGACAAGACCCCAAGACGAATACAAGACGTACGTGCTAAGACGAACCAGAGATAGATGATGATAGATGCGTTCAGACGTGAACGATGCATTACGACGAACGAACCACAAAAAATTCGCCTGCGGCGGGGGCTAAGAAAAATTATAAGAAGCAGCTAAACCGGTTTTTGATCACATACCTTATCATCCGAGAGTCTCGCGGCACGCGGTGTGCGCTGATGTGCCGGCAGACTTGTTTCCGGAAATCAGACTTTTTTGGTTCTCTCGGGTCTCCGGTCTCCGGTCTCGGGTCCCTGCCTGTGGTCTTAAAGCGGGTTCTAGACTACATATATATACATACATGATGATGATGAAAAGGCTGCCTGCTCCCAGAGCCCAGAGCTCCTCACCGAAAACTCACACAGAGAGCATGACACACGGCAGTCAGTCTACTCCGCGCGCAACCCTCTTCTCAGCCAACTCTCAGCATATGCCTATACCTCCCACGACTCTCAGTCTCTATAGCGCGGAGCAGAGGCGCCCCCAAGCATTTATCATACATACGTACATATATGCATGTTTTCATGTATCTACATATCTCTTCTTTGGTTGACAACTCCACGAGTTCACGAACGAGCTACAATGTATGGTACCTGCCAAGTTTGTAAGCTACCGTTGTACCAGTACATGTACGCGGGGTCCGCTGCATGAAGGCAGTGTTTCTTCCATGCATACTGGAAGTTCCGCGCAGCTTGCCGGGTGAGTTCTTCTTTCTTCTCTCTTGAAAGCAGTACAAGTATACTTATTTCTTCGTCGGGTAGAGGCATACATAAGCAACGTACTTACATATATATACAGCAGTAGTGAGTCACACGCCAACCGAGACATCGCCAACTATTTAGAGAATGAGCGTCGTCGGTAAAACAACAACAACAGCACAACAACAGTCAGTGTAGGAAAGCTAGAGAGGCCTAGACTAGGTCTTGGGAGAAGGTGTTGAGTAACACCATCCTTGCAAAAAACGGATAGCCTGTGAGCCTGTGTGCTTCAAGTACAGCAGTACGTAACGAAACACTACCCGTTCGAAATACATAGCTTACCTACCCCACGCAGCAGTCGAAATGGATGGTTCCTTGCTCCGCTCTCCCACAACAAATAACAACGGGGACCTGCATGACATCAGCCCTCACCTACCTACTCTGAGTCGTCACACCATACATTGTAGAAAAGAGAAAAAACATCCGCGCTTCGTGTGTCACCAAGTTACCCGCGGGCTAGACCTCTGCCCCTTCGTAGTTCGTCGGAATCAACGGAAATGGGAAATAAGCAGGCGCATATATGCATCAGATCAGCAGATATTCGTAGCCGCCAGCCCCAAAGTGCACAACTCTCCGCGCCGCGGAGATGCGCCAGTACCCTACCAGTCAACAGGGGGTACAAAGTTCTGTGATCGGTGATTGGCCCACAGGTTTTGTTCTGCCAGTCTTCAAGACTCAAATGTTCAAATTTTCGATTTTTTCATGGAAAAAAAAAAAGTAAAATTTGGCACGACAGACCCTACAGCGGAAGAAGCAGTGGCGTTGACGGTCCCGCGAAGGAGGGGAGGGGTTTACACACGGAGTACAGCAGCAGTTATATCCACCGACGGCGAGAGAGATAGATAAGCACAGGCACACAGGAAGGAGCTGGCGTGCACGGCACAGCGGGGATCGAGACGTGACCAGCAGGAGCCATCACACCCAGCAGCAGCAGCAGCAGTAGCAGCAGCAACAATCGCCAACAACAGCAGCATCAGCAGAGGCAGCAGCAGTGCGGAGCGACTCATCGTTCACAACACTTGCTGTGGTGCTGCTGGTTGACCCTTTCATGAGTGGGGACGGCGTCAACAGAGAAGACGATGGCCTTCCCCCGCCGCAAGACGCGCAGGCTGTTGTGCAGGCTTCTTCGGCCTCGGAACGACGGCGCCGCCCGCAGCGGGCGAGCAACCCCGCCAGGCTACGGCTCAGCGAGCTGCTGTCGAACAACTTGGTCTCCGCCGGAAAATACGCGACGGGGAGGACCATCGACCCCCGCAAGCCGGACCCATCCATGCCGCAAGCCTGCATGCCGAGAATAAAGCACAAGGCGATGTCCGCCTCCCTGACGCTTCCCCTGGGCAAGCGGCAGGCCGAGAGGCTGAAGGCGGCCCAGGTCAACGCCGGCCAGGAGCGGGACGTCAACGTGGACGGAGTCCCAGAGACGAGGCTTCCCTGGGCGGTGCGGCCGGATGTTGATTTCAAAATCGTGAACCACAAGGCGTGGTCCACCGGAGTCGTGGCCCCCGTGGTTGCACAGGTATGCATGTCCGGTGGGGGGCGGGGGTCGTCGAGATCGGTGTGTGTTTTTGCGCAGAGTCCCCTCGCGCTTTTTGTGGGGCATGATGCAATCATCGGGGGCAGGCACGCAAAGATGGCAGCAGATGATTCGAACATCGTCGGGGTCTCGATGGCTGCTGGAAATTGTGAAATTGTGTTGGGGACCAAGTTGAGACCCACATGAGCCTCGTCTCTCCACCTCCACACTGGATGGTTTCCCACAGCATGGTGGAGTACAACAGTCGCAGACTACTGCTGCGTGTGGAATGCTCTTAACGGCCGGTGTTGGGGGTCGCGGGAGCTTTTTCAAGCGGGGAGCAAAGCAAGCGTCGAAACAGCAGGCTTACCAACCATCCTCTCGGAATCACAATTTGTTGGTGATAGGCTGTAACTTACGTAGGCCTCCATGTGCTATTTATGTTCCATGTTCCATTCGTTGTAGACTGACTGGTATACGCCGTTCTACGGCAGCAGCACTGATGCAGTGACGACCCACCCGACCAACTCACACCACATGCACGGACGGGTAGTCCAGCACTTAAGGCGGGTGTCGGGGGGTGAGAACAGCGGTAAGGTCTAACTCACGTACTACATGCACCACAAGAGACGCCTGGCTGGTGTTTTCTCCGCGTCGTATCTGGGCTGATGTTTTCTTCACCGCCGGAGGAATCGTGTTAGTCCGCTCAGCGCACCTGTTGTCAGAGAAAAGAGAGCTCTACAATTTCATGGCTACGATTGCGCTGCCATGTTTTAAATACTGCTGTACGTACATAACCGACGGCTTCTCCCCGATATTTTTACGTTGACCCAGAGAGAACAACAGCAGTGGATGTAGAATGGTGTATAATGTTTTTTGTCGTTGACCCAGTTGGTTCACCCTGCAGAGAACCACAGCAGTAGAGAACTACAGGTGACGTTCTGTAAAATGTAGTATATCTTCCTAACTATCAGATGCTTCTGTTCTAATCTCAGCGTATGGGCTTAAAACAAACGGAAAGCCCAATTTTCAGCCGGTCTTCCTCCACTGACTGAACAGACTTCAGCACATCCCTCTCGACTCCTACAGTTTGTGTATGTTGTATCTCGAACGGGTACTCTTTGTATTTTCTCAAAATGTGTTCCCTGCAGACGTTTTTGTGCTTACATATGTAGCACCAGCTGGTACATATCACTGGTATAGATAGACCAGCAGTGACATACTCGAAATAAGCCCAGAACCCAGCCGTTTTCCTCCACTCACTGCTGCAAGACTCAACACATGTTCTTGGCTACTTGTTGCACTTTTTCAAACGAGTACTTGCAGTATTTCTGTGATCATGTATTCTCCCTAAAAAATGCATACTGCGACACAGATAACACAAGCACAAGGGGCAACGAACGCTACCCCCCACAATCATCTCATCCCGTGGCAATATTGTTGCTGGCGAACATGAGCCCAACACATGAATTGCTCCGATCTAGTTACTGCTGTACTCAACCAAATGTATGCGAACCATACATGTGCACCACGCAAAAGTTTACATACATACCCCCCACTGCCACGGGTTCCCCAAAAAATTATCCCACACACCTAGCCCCCCTCCCCACGGGATACAGCCGCAAAATATTTTTGGCAATCAGGCCGCATAAATTTATGGGGGGCACATCGTGTGCTACTAAGGCCCTGTTTCAACGCGATTTCACCCGAAAGGAGGCCCTGAATTTCCAAAGTGGGGAAACGACACAACAGGGTATGCCCAGGTCGAAATGAACACAGGTGATTAGTCAACGCCCACTTTCACCCCGCTGCGTCCTGTTGTAAAAAGCGCGGGGTATACCCTGCCGTGGCTACTTCTCCAGAATTGTACCCTGATTTCGGGAATGTACCCTCGGACCTGACGGGAAATGAGGCCCTTTCATGAACCATATCTTCCGCCGTAATCCTCTGTTGTTGTTTTCACATGATAAACCGTCCCGATTTCTCTATTGTACCCAGTACCTTCATCTGTCCGTACTGATCAAACACTTGGCCGATCCATGCCCGCGGTCACAGGCAAACTTACCCTGTACCATGAGGTGCACTCAAATAAAATGGGCCCGAAGGGTACATTTCCGAAACCAGGGTACAATACTGGAGAAACGTTGCCGCGTATACCCACACTTTTTACGACGCGGCGGGGTGAAAGTTGGGGTTGACCAATCATCTGGGTCCGTTTCACGCTGCCGAATACTACGTACCCTGCTGAGTCGCTTTTCGACCAGGGTATGCCCTGTTGTGTCGTTTCCCCGACCAAAGTTGGGGGGGGGGGCACCGGGGGACAGACGGTGATTGGTCAACAGGGAAATACACCCTCAACAACGCCGGTTGAATAACACCGGTGGCCACGTGTAGCTCCCGTGAAATTCCTGGGCACAGACTGAGCCATTCTGTACTTTGAATAGCGCCGAAACCTTAGAATAGCACCGGTCGCTTCACCGGGCACATACCGTCGTTGTTGAGGGCCCATCACGGCTGTACTTGTGTCCATACCAAGGCTCTTGCTGTTCAACGGCCAGCAAATATTCTTCGCTCGGATCGTACCTTGTCCTACTCTTTTTGGAAAGTGTCCCATGTTTCCCTCCAGGGCATGAGGAGATAACCCGTCCTAAGGGGCACGATTGACGATCACTGTTGTAGCTGTTCAGGGCGTGGGTGGTTCTCGAACAGCCTGAACGATTGAGAAAAGCCGCCGCGCTTCCCCCCGTGTGCCCTCCTGCACCGCTACAGGTCAAGGAGGCGCTGGGGTTCGGGGAGTGGGAGGTGGAGGCGTCCCTGAGCGAGATGCTTCTTTGCGAGGAAGACTGCTTCTATAGGTGGGGGTCGCAACAGCGCTGAGATAATTTTTTGTTTTTCGGTTCCGATGTCGAAAGTGATCTATGTCGCGTTGCTCCCCCCTTTTGTTTTCATTCCTGTCAGGCGACCCTGTTGCTTTTTTTTTTCGTTCAATGTATTTGCCTCAGCTCACCGCAGTTTCTACCTATGGTATGGTTACAGTGCTTTTCCTCTCAGAGCGAAGAGCTCCGATAAGGGTCCACGCAGATGGGGACAAGTTCTGTGCATTGGGTGTTTTCGGTTTTCTGTCCGGGGAACGAAGCGCTTCTTATTGGGATCTCCCCGGTGTTATTACAAGGATACATGGGACACCTGTTGGGCGTGCTGAGATGTATGTGCTTTGTCCGATCTTCCACCAAAGGGAATCACTGGCAAACTTGCTTCGGTCGCCTGCCTCTTTGCGACTGTCCCCTATCGTTTTGGCTGTGGGGACACCCCTCAACTGTTTCTCATTCATGGTACTACTCCTCCTCCCTCCCCACCGCTCGCTCTCTTGATCTCGAAACACACATACGGCAAAAACAACGACTCAAAAATCCAGCGAGGGCCGTGAGTGCGACGAGTCACCGGGGGTCTTCGCGACGCTCATGTTTCAGATGACCTCCGTAGTGCAAGGAGGCGTGTTTACGGTATTCGACCCGTCATCATCGCCACCGGAATCATCTCGATCCCCATTGGCCGACGCTGGGAATGGTTCTATCGCGTCCGAGGATGACGGCAAGGGTGGGCGTAGCATTTCTTTTTCAGGTGGGTTGGAAGTGGACAAGAGTTGCTGCTCACAGGAGTAGACAGGGTGTGTTGTGACTGCCGCTGCTCTATGTAGAGCGGAACGTGTCCGACATGAATCAAGAAGTACTTCCTCAAGATACTAAATTGCTAGTTCGTGTTTGACGGTACTTTACCGTGCACTACTATGCCAATCTCTGCTTGCCTTTCGCCTGTGTTCGCAACTTGTAGTGCTTGACAGCAGTGTGTTCACTACAAATGTATGTGCAAAATGCGTCTTGGATGCGTGTGTGTGTGTGTGTGTGTGTGTGTGTATACTTCTTTAACCTTTGTCTTGTGGTTGTCCTTTGGAGAGGCTGACTGACTTGCAACGTCAGACGGACACAGCAGTAGCGCGGTCGATAAGCATCACACGCATGCACACACACACACACACACACACACACACATACGAATACCCAGCACCCAGCATGTAGAGACGGACTCTCGTCAGCCAACCGGACACAAACAGCAGCAGCGCGGCCGATCCTGACATTCAAGCAACACACGCGCGCGCTTCTTTTATCCAGGCCCCAATATGTACTACGTGGCCTTCTACACGGACTGCGAGCGCCAGCTCTCCCACGTCACCAAGGGCAACCTGCTCACCCTCGTGTACAACCTCCGGCGCGTGTCGCCGCCCGGCTGTGGCGGCGGCGCCGGGGGGCGTCCGTCGTCGTCTTTGAGGGGAGCGGGGAGACCGGGGGGGGCGGTATCGCCGACTGCGTTGGCGATGCCGGCGGGAGAGAAGTGGGACTGGGCTGCAGCAGACGCCGACTTTTTCGCCCCCGGAGCTGCTGCTGCTGCGGCGGCGTCTGGTAGCGGTGTCGCAGCAGCTGCTGCTGCTGCGGCTGCGGCTGCGGCGGCGGCGGCCGCCGCTGCTGCTGCTGCTCCTGCTGAAGCGTCTGGGGGTCTAGCCGGGATTGGGAGCTCTCCATGGGCAAATGTGGGTTTTCGGGACGCGAATCTTTTGGGATGCTGCTGCTTGTCTCGTTTTTTTATTAGTTGACCGAGATGTTGGACATTGGGTGTTGTTGGGGGTGGCGCACGTGTTGCCATTGCTGTGTGCGGTAGACGCTTCCGTGTCTTTTTCGTCCAATTTCTTCCTAGATTTTTTTTGCGGTGTTGACGTGTTCCTGGCGCGGTTTGCGCCAACACACAAGAGACACGCACTTCAGACTCGCTCTAATTCATCATCAACATCTTCTCGTTTTGAGTCAAGAAATATGTTGAGGTTTAGACGGACCCCCTCGACATGTCGGGACCCGCCATGTCGAGGAGTTTCGTACGTGTGCCACCCTGTCCCGCACGAGAACCGATGCACCCCCCTCTCGCCGGGGGCTCCGTGTGTGCAGGTGTGTCCCTCGTGCCTGAACTGTACCCGTCCACAAGCCCCCCCGCGTGACTCTTGTTACCTCTCCTCAATGATAGATAGATACGTACGAAAGATGAGTGTACACATACTTTTATGTTTTCCTTTTTTGTTCGTTGAGGTTCGCTGGGCTCTCTTCGAGTCAGAAACGTCTCTTTTGGGAAAAGTCACTGATGGCGGGCAGCTGGCAGCTGTTGGTCCACACCATCACCCGCTTAGCTTTCGTCTCGCATCACGCCTTGATGACGCTATGCTAGTGCTAGGGAGCCAGCCCTCTCCAGAGGCACGAAACATGCCCTTGTAACATGTCTGTTTTCTGTTTCTCGCTTTTCCGTATTTTTCTCTTTCTCGTTCTCGTCCGCGAAAAATGCCGTTGTAACATGTCTGTTTTCTGCTTCTCGCGTTTCCGCATTTTTCTCTTTCTCGTTCTCGTCCGCGAAAAATGCCGTTGTAACATGTCTGTTTTCTGCTTCTCGCTTTTCCGCATTTTTCTCTTTCTCGTTCTCCTCCACCGCCGCGGCCAACAAAGACGGGGTCAGTGCCGGGCGAGACGGCCGTCGCGACGAGGAGCGCGGCGAGCACGCACGCGCTCTGGCCCCGGGCGGAGGCCGATGCCGTCCGGAGAAAAGCGGCGGTGTTCGTTGAGCCGCCCGCGGTGCCGCAGCCGGCCTCCGCCGAGCATATCGCGGACATCGTCCAAGCTGTTCGGAGCTGGGCGGCGGCGGGGGCAGCAGCATCCGGTGAGCTATATGTAGCTGATTTTTTAGGAAATATACTTTGGCGGGGGGAGAGGCCGCGAAAGTTAAGCTCTAGAGCCACGAATAGCGTCAGGATTCGCCAATCCTGCAACCTTGCTCCCTCAGCCCGCTGGAAGTTTGTTTATAGGTGTATACTTCATATAGGGGAAAGACTACGTTACCGTTTCGCTGTTGTCCGATGTTTATTTTTTTTTTGTGTCGCGTGCGGGCAGGCGTTGGTTGTCGGCGGTTTCCTCCCGCTGTTGGCTAGCGGCTTATTAGACAAGGTGTGGATTTTCGGACAAGCTACATTACCTGGTCGGGATATTTACCCCAATAGAAGGGTTGCGTTCAAGTCTTCATATAAATTCTTTTGTGAATGGCGGTGACGGGCACGACAAGTTTGGACCACGGAAGGGTTTAGTTAGGGTTGGACCACGAAAGGGTTTAGTTAGGGTTGGGCACAGCAGCAGCAGCAGCAGCAGCAGCATGATCTCCGAAGTAGGTGTGACCTTGGTACCCACGATCAGGTTGTGACTGAGTAAGTCTTGGCAACGCCACGTGATGACTTGGATCGAGATCCTGCCATGTTGGCGGGAGGGTTTGCAACACTAAACACGACGTGTTGATTTTCGCGCGCAGCGCGCGAGAGTTGTTCGCGTGCTATTTTTTTTTTGCAGGGAAAAGACGCAACAGTCGTGCTCGGTGGATCCTTGTCGTAGGAAGAGGTTTCCATGACTGCGGAACCAAGTCGTCGTTTCTGTCACGATTTTTTTGCAATTGGACAGCTCCACCCCCACTCCCTCTTCCCTCTGCCACACCCACACGTGCTTCGTCTATTCGAGTGCATTGTACCCCCTCCACACAGCCTGTCCCTGTGTGTCTACATCTACTTGCCCCACACCCCCTCCGAATGTCGCTCCTACTTGACACCACGCAATGTCGTATTTGTCTCTCCCCTAAACAAAACCGTCCTTGTCCCGTCGTTGGTTTTCTTGGAAACAGGAGGGGGCGAAGACGATGTCGTTGTTCCCTCGAAGCTAGTCGTGGCACTCTCGCACCACTACCCGCCGTTGTGTTGGGCGTCAGAAGGAGGCGGAGGCGACCTGGTCGGCATGTCCCTCCTGAAGGGGCGCGACCGAGCCGTCTGCAACCTCTTGCGCCTAGCGCGGCAGGCCCTGGCCACGGACCCGGCTGTGCCATCATCCGAGGGGGCCGGCGGAGGAGAAACGGCAGGGGCGATGGAGGTGGATACGGAGAAAGTGAAAGGGTTGGGGCGAGCGTCGGCGGCGGGAGCGGGAGCGGGAGCGGCAGCGGCAGCGGCAGCGGCGGCGTCGCCGTCGACAGCACTGGATGCCGGGGGTGGGAAGGACGGGGGGAGATCAGATGGTGCTGGTTCTGCAACGTGGAACGGAGAGAGCGGCGTTCGAGATGACGGGGTGAGAGATTGGCGGGGTTAAAGACGGCCCAACCATTGTTGCGTGTGAGCCGGTCGTGTTTTTTTTTGCGAAAATGTGTTGTTTTCTGTATGGGCTACATTTGTAGTTTGACCCGCTTCGGTTACGATGCTTGTTGTTTTTTGTGGGTTGATTGTTGGTGTATGCCGATGGTTGTTTTTTGTGCGTTGATTCGTTGATGCATTGCTTCCTACGACATAACCTTCCGCAGTAGTGAAGCATGGTGCGTGGTGGCAAGGGCTGTGTGTTTGACTTGTCTCGAAAAAAGAGAAGTGGACCGTGCTGAATAAACGGCGGCAGCCGTAACCCAAGGGCTCAAGCAAGGACGAGGATGTGGCTAGATGAATGCCTCCCAATACCCCGGTCTTCCGCTCCTTGCAGTCCAGACGGCTAGGCAGCACGGTAGATACTCTGTTTTCGTTCTATTTTTCGCTGTTGTCTTCACGCCTTGCCCCCCCCCCCCAAGCTAAACACTGTCCACGTTCTTCGATTTTACGCCTCCAACGTTCAGGCGGCCCTCGAGATATTTTTGACGCGATTGGTGGTGTCGCACGGTAGCGAGAACGAGGGGGCTTTCACCACGGGGCCCCTTGTGCCCCTCCAGCCTGGGGACCCCGAAGCTCAGGTAAAAAGAAACAACATCCAAGATCGGCTGTAGCGGCAATTGGGTGTATGCGGCGTCTTTTGATTGGCTTCGCGGGGTCTGTCGTTTCCGCCGCCTGTCCTCGTTCTTGTTTTACCTCTTTGAGAAATCTTCTCGGCGCAACCGCGCGTATATGGTTTCGGATGGCGCGCTTCATTGGTTTTCTCGAAAAATTTCGAAGCAATGAGGTTGAGGATGGATTCCGGGGGGTAATTTTGTCTCGAAGAGCCTGGTCGTTTTTTGGGAAAAGAGTGGGTATGCCGATCGCCCCGGTGGTCTAGTTGGTAGCCTCGTAACCTTCTAGAGGTCAGGTCAGGGGTTCGAATCCCGGCGTAGGCGAGCTTTTCTTGCAAAGTGAGTTTTTCTCTCGCTTCCGCTCCTGGCCAAGTGGATAGCGCTAGTTCGTGTGTACACAGAGGGAAGAGAGTGCTGAACTCTTCTCGCATTAAAAATTGAAGGCGAAGTACCGCAGGAGGGGAGGGTAGAGAGAGGCTCTTCTGTGTGACCACGGGTTGGAATAAACGGCACTAGTGCTGTGAGCGCTGATTTGAAGTGAAGAACAAAAAAAAAAAAAAAAAGAGACCGGAAGACTCCAAGTTTGCCCGGGTCCCGCTCCCGCGTCTTCATAGAGGGTTGGTGGTGGGAAAATTTGCAGCGGGTGTGATTGATTCTTCTTTATGTAGTGTTGTTTCGCTCATTTCGCCCGCCCGCGCTTGCAGGTGGAGCTGCCGCTGTGGGTGGAGGAAGGTCCGACGTTTCAAGGGCTCCAGCTCCTGCCGGACCAGGCTTTGCCGGTGGACATCGCCTCCGAGGTGAGGGTCACCGCGGAGCAGCATACCAAGTGGAATAGGTTGGGAATAGGTTGGGTGTTGCTACCCTGCAGCAGCCGCTTGGTCTTTTGGATCACCGTTGACCACGCCAACTCCCACTGGCTTCTCGGGATTGAACGAGCTTTTCCGGGTACAATTCACCCCCGTCGCCTGCAGCGGTCCCTTGGTGTTTTGGTTGACCATTTTACCACGCCAGCCTACGTTGATTTAGGGGTTGAACGATCGCTCGGCAGTCCTCTCTCGAGAATTAGAGCCAGCCTCAAGGGAGCCGGGAGTATTCTTTGTTTCCATCTCCGGGGCAGTCCTCGTGGGCCCTGGGATTTTTGGGGCGCAGACTTACGGGCCTTTCAACGGCCGGCGACATCGCCCTCCCCGAACAACACACCTCAGCAACGCCTCATTACTCATGTTGGTTTTCTCCCCTCCGTGTGTCCCGTTTCTATATTGTTTGGCGTGCCCCGTGCGAACGGCTTGTCGTGTGGCGCGTTTTGTGCTCAGGTCTTGCACTCCGGAGGTCTCGCCGCGCTTGCGGACCTCCAAGGCAGCTACGCGGAGGCGTTCTCTAGGGGACCCGAGGCGGTCGAGTTTCTCGGGAAAAAGGTCGACGAGTTGTGGCAACTCGAAGACTCGCCGGGCGCTGCTCTTAGTGGGGGGGTGGGGGCGGGCGAGGGAAGGCAGGCGAGGTTCTACACTCGTACGGCCATTGTCTTCTGGCCGAAGGCGAAGAGGTAAGTTCGCCCGCTTGGTAGGTACCGTGGGGCGGGTGGAAATTGCAGAGCTGGGGGGGGGGGAAGAGTATTTGAACACTGGTACGGTGAGATTAGTGTTATCCTTTTGAATTCTGACTCTTTGTGATGACTCCTTGCGCACGGGCAACGACAGCAGGGAGAGAGAGTTTTTCTGTCGCAGCCGAGAATTTCTGCACAGATTTAGGATCCGCGCACCTGTTCAGCGTTTGAACAGAGAGCTCCCTCAGTAGCGGCGTTTACGGTACGAGCGACAGCAGCAGCGGCAGCGGAAATGGCAGTCCTTGGTGGCAAACGTTTCCTACCGTTGCGTTCGCCATTGGGCAATTTTTTCAGCCTGATTGAGGGCGCAAACAGTCTCTACCCGGCGCCGTCTTGACCCTCAGCGCTGTAACAGTGTTGTCGCTGCATACATGTAGTCGTGAAGACTTGTTTAGGCTCGGACCGACGCTTACCCATACTTTCAAACTCTTCTTCCTCTCGTTTGCTTTGTCGGAATTCCGTTTTTTTTTTTTTTTGGTGTCGGTGCCGGTGCCGGTGCCGGAACAGGCACGCCGTCCAACTGGATGCGCTGGCGGCGGGGCATCGCTGTCTCGCCCGCGCGCGGGAGCAGCTGTCCCTCTTGGACGACACAACGCCGCGGCCGGCGGCGGTGCGGCTGATGACGGCGGATGTCGTGGCTCTCGCCCGCCAGGTGAAGTTCTGGTTCCAATTAGGCAGCCCCACGGGAAGGGAATCACTTGGGGCGATGCCCTACCGCCTCTTTGCGGAGAGAGGGTCCTTGCTCCTGGTGGTGAGGGTTTTGTGGCGCTGCCGGGAGAAGAGGGCGTGATGGTGGTCCTCGCTTGTCCGCGGGATATCCGGGTGCCAACCATGGCGTTTTGGTCCCATTTGTGTTGGCGGTGGTGGTGCGTGTTGTTGTCGTGTATTGTCCGGATAGATTATTCCCGAACTGACGTTGAGCCTTAGAAATGGAGTATGTACCACCGAAGGAACCTCATGTACGCGGCCAAAAAATCTCTCTGCGGACGTTCTTGCTGTCGTCCGACCGCTCTTGGATGATCTGTTGCTGGTTTTTCTCTGGATGCTCATGCCCCCCCCCCCCCCC